TTTTTTATTATTTTTAGAAAAATTTAACCAAAATTTTAAATAACAAATTAAGGAAAAAAATAACAAATTCCATTTTTTAATTATTTAAAATAATAATTAAATTTTTATATTAATAAAGTTATTATTAAATCATACCTAGTTCATTAAAAAAATAAATAATTTTATAACTTTTTACAATTTAAAAATAAAAAATATGACATTAAAGTTAGTAAGGTAAATGACCCAGTTATTGACACTGGTCTAGTTGTTTGACACTTGCAATTTTATTCTAATTAAAAAAATAAAATGTTCTCAAAAAACTAATTATCTTAAAATTTATAACTCAAAAATTATATTTATTAATTTATCAGAGTTGATTTGTTTTTTTTTTTTTTTAACTGAAATAAAATTGTAATTGTCAACAACTATAGGCCAGTGTCAATAACTGGGTCTTTCCTCAGTCACTTGATTATTTTTTTATTTTATTTAACAAAAAAATTTGTCCCAAAAAATTATTTATAAAAAAAATTGCATTTTTAATTTTTTAAAATTTCTACGTCAATTTTTTTTGCAATAATTTATCATCAAAATTCTTAAGTTAAAATCATCAAATATCTGCTAAATTAATTTTCATATAAAAAGTCTATAAATTAATAATGAAAAAAAAAAAAAAAATAATTTGTATAAAAATACAAACCTGAAGGCAAAAGAAGCCATGGATCCATGCCTGGTCCCATAAAGCTCAGGATAATAAATAAAATACATATCAGGTTTATCTAAATTCCCAAATGGCTGAGACTCCGCCTTGAGAACTTCAACTTGCCGTAGCTTAGCAAGCAAAGCCAACCTGTTGTAAAACATTATAAAGTTAGCAATCATTTGAAAATTTTTCAATTTTATTTAACAAAAAAATTATTTAAAAAAAAAAATTAGAGTTTAATTTTTTTTTTAATTTCTACATACCATTTTTATTCTAATTTTTTTATCATAATTTATTTGTTATAAAATTCTTAAAATTATGAAATATATGCTAAATTAAATTTCATACCTGGTGTACCAAAGCTGCAAAGAATGTGGAGTATGCTTGCTCGGGTAGTTAATTTTTCCATAACCTTGCCCGTAGATCGCGAGCAATCGGCCAGTTAAATTGACAGCAGCACGGTAACATTCAGACTGAATTAAATTTCTCAGTCCTCGCTCGTCCTGAGTGACGTCAGAAGCCGTCGAGATATTCCGGTGGATTGTTTCATCGACCCCCAGGTAATGGACCACGGACTCCTTGATGGGGTCTCCCATGTCGCTCTGCAAAGTCAAACCGGGCATGGTAAGATTCTCTCTGTCGTGATTGTTATTACCTGAGGCGGCGATGCTCCTGAG